ATTAGTCTTCAAGCCCTGTGATTGGATGTTGGAGTGGCAGTGCGTCAAGGTTACGCTGAGCGTCAAACAGCTCTTTGAAATGGAATGGAACCACGGCAGACTTTCCAAAAACTGGAATTGGACGGCTCCAGTCTCCCCCCCCCCCACAATTAGAAGTTGCCAGTATTAAACTGTGTACACCCTGGAGGTTTAGGGGATACGAAATACAGTGGTGTTATCAAATTTAAAACATATAATTAATAAATGGGTGAATTAATATACCCACATGACACCGAAGGTCAGAAGAGCTTTATTTAACAGCTGCTCTTATGTCTGTGACCCCTCCTGTTGTTCATTGATAAGCCTGAAACATGCACTTGTCAAGGTTCAGAGGCACATTTTGAAAATATGGCAGTCGCCATCGATCGTCTTAAGATAAGATATACTCTATTGATCCCAAGTTGGACATTTTTTCGTTACAGCAGCATGTGTAACAGTTGTAAATATGCAGTGGTGTTTATTTGTAAACCATTTAGTATAATCACACAAATTCTCTGTTTTATATTTAATAATTCTGTGTTCTTTATTTATCTATTGTTCAATACCTGACAAGGCCGGAGAGGAAAAACTTTGGTCGCAGGTTCCTCAACAGTGCATCACAAGACATCTATCAATATGTGTGTATACCTCCACCATTAAACTGTCATATTCTGCACATTTCTTATACTATCTACATATATCTTATAAGAGTATAATACATGTGTATAATATCAGTTAAAATAAGTGCTTAAACATACAGTAGTTAACATTGCAGGAATGCTTTCCTGCAATGTTAACTACTGTATGTTTAAGCACTTATTTTAACTGATATTATACACATGTATTATACTCTTATAAGATATATGTAGATAGTATAAGAAANTCAACTTTGCAGCGGCAGTTTTTAATCTTCGACAACACACAGCTGTGTGTGTGTGTGTGTGTGTGTGTGTGTGTGTGTGTGTGTCAGTAGGAGTTTGAGGTTTTAGAGCAAAATCGAAGCAGACTTTGTCAGTGAGAATAAAACACTCACTGCAGTACTCCCATCTTGTACTCTCCTAAATGTGTGTGTGTTTGTGTTTGTGTGTGTGTGTATGCGCTGTCAGTGTGTGCGCTGTCGGTGTGTGTGTGGGTGCTTTTGGTGTTAGCATACAGTTTCAAACATCGAGGTTATCTGCAGGGGAAGCAGCACAGTGTGAATCGCTCACTGAACACACTGATACTGCAGACACACACACACACACACACACACACACACACACACACACACACTCTGGTTAATTGTGCTTAATTGCATGTGACAGGTGTTGACAGCTCACAGCGGTGGCCTCTCCATCACCTCTCTCTCTCTCTCTCTCTCTCTCTTTCTCTCTCTCTCGCTTCACTTAAACTGATATTGTATTTAGTGCATAAAATAATTAATAATAAATAACCTGCTGTTTATTAAAGTAAATAATGTGATGCTCACACTAACTTTAAGAACTGTGGAGTTGTTCTGTAAACATTGCTCCAGATGTTTTTGTCTCTCTGGTCATTTCAAATGTATTTTTCAGTAATTCTCAATCGTATAAAAAGTTGATTAGTTTATCTACGGTAATGTTTTGTTACGTATGTTAAGTCGTTTTGAGTGTCTTTGTAGTGATTTAGTCTTAGTCCTTTTGTGTCTCTTTTAAGTCATTGTGTCTCTTTGATGTCATTTGTTGTCTCTTTGTAGTGATTTAATCTCTATTTGTAGTCATTTTGTGTCTCTTTATATTTGTTTCCTATCTTTTGATGTAATTTTCTGTGTCTGGTAATCATTTTGTGTTGTTTTGTGTCTTTGTAGCCCTTTTTCCCCCTTTCTGTCATATTTGTGTGTCTTTGTGTGATCTTTCCATCTCTTTTCGGTTACCTTAAGACTCTTTTAACGGATCTTGCAGTCGTCTAGTGTCTCTCAGATTAATTATTTTCCTCTGACGTCCCTTTTCAATCTTTTCTTCTTCGTACCCTTTAGACTCGTCTCTGTCGAGGATGAGCCCCTGCTCGGAGGCGGGGAAACCCTGTAACCCGTGTCTGGACGCGGCGAAGTCGTGTAATCTGAACGAGACGTGCAAACGTCTTCGATCTGCATACAATTCCATCTGCAGCAAGGCCACGCCCCCTCAGTCCACGCTGGCCAATCAGGAGCCCTGCAGCCGCAAGAGATGTCAGAAGGTGGGTGCAGAAATACCTTAAAAATATATTTAAAAAAACTGAGTTTATTTATGAAAACCAAGCACCAGCATAAAAAGACATGGCATTGTAGAATATAATATATATATAATATGTTCAAATAATTTAATTCATTTAATTTAATCAGTTCTTTACATTGCCTGAACTCACGAGAGTTTCGCTAAGAATATCTAAATGGACCAATCAGAAGTGCGTATTCAACCATGTGATGTAATGAATGTAATAAATGCCCTCCTCTGTGCCCAGGCTCTGCGTCAGTTCTTCGAGCGAGTCTCCTGGGAGCTCAGCTACCCCCTGCTGTTCTGCTCCTGCTCCGATCAGGCCTGTGCCGAGCGCCGCCGCCGCACCATCGTCCCGTCCTGCTCCCACCAGGAGAGAACCAGGCCGTCCTGTCTGGAGCTGAGGGCCAACTGCCGCTCTGACGCGCTCTGCAGGTGAGAGCTAACGCTAGACTATCTGTGAGGAGCTAATGCTACGCTACACATATCTATATCTATAGACATAAAGGAACTACAGCACGCTCAGACGCACTCTGCAGGTTGCAAGGCTGCACGTTTTTACACTTGAGGAAACTACTGTTTACCACTTAGGCAGCTAATGTTGGGCTATAAAGGAACTACAGCACGGTCACATGACTTCACGTCACCACCGCTAAGCTAAAGGAGGCTAATGTTGGGCTATAAAGGAACTACAGCACGGTCACATGACTTCACGTCACCACCGCTAAGCTAAAGGAGGCTAATGTTGGGGCTATAAAGGAACTACAGCACGGTCACATGACTTCACGTCACCACCGCTAAGCTAAAGGAGGCTAATGTAGGGCTATAAAGGAACTACAGCACGGTCACATGACTTCACGCCATCTGGAGTGATGACCTGCTGAGTCATCTTAAGGTTTTAGGACTCATTCCTACAGCTCTGTAAACATTGCTGCATGGTTCTGGAGTCGTTGGGTCTCAAGACATCGAAGCTTTTGAAAATAAATTAGATCCACAGCATGTAGGGTTTAAAGACGAGGCTAAATATTGAATGCAAACTATGTTGATAAAACAGATATTTGCTCCTTGTGTGTATATATATATTATACTTCTCATATATCTCTACTTCCTGCTGAGTGTTTCCTCGCTGCAGCTGTGACTGAACTCTGAATCTGCAATGCTAATAATCCTCCGGTCCAAAACCCCTCAGAGCTCCCGCAGGTCTGCATTACTGGAGACAAAGACTGTATTTAATTACTCTTTCTGTCAATCAGAGCCCCAGCAGTCATTTCATCACAGCAGGGGGTCCAGCCCCAGAGGACTCTGAATAATATCAGTTTAATGGAGGCTCAACTAAGTGGAGGAGAAGTACTCAGATCTGGTACTTGAGTAAAAGTAGAAGTACCAGATTGTAGGAATACTCTGTTATGGTGCGTTCACACCCGATGCACCGCTCTAATCGTGCAAGTTTCACCATGGCTTGCAGTTGTTTTTATCGCCTCATTCAAACAGTTGCTCCGTTCATGTTGTTTTGCGTGATGGAAAAATAGTTCTGTTTCTTTCTGTCCTCGTTGTAGAAGATATTACAACAACTGCCGCTTTATACCTTCTGTGGAAGCCCATCAAACGCTGCAGCAAACGTTGTCGTGTCTCGGTTCATTATCATCCAGCGTCGCACACAGTTTGGAGACTTTCATCTTCTCATCCAGGAACTGATGACTGACGCTTCCCTACGGTATTTGAGGAGGACCAGTGATCAGTTTGATAATCTGTGAACTCCGATTGGTGTCAGGATTTCTCAGATGCACACAAACTCGTATTTCTCCGGGAACCCATTACATTACATCACATGTCCCTTGTTAGAAGCTTTTCTCCAAAGAGACTCACATACTCAACACTGTGGACAATCCCCACAGGAGCACTTTGGGGTGAAGTGTCTCAGGGACACAACGACGTGCTGACTGCAGTGGGGTTTGAACCCTGATCCCAACACCAAGGCTCTATCCACTGCGCCACACGCCTCCACATAAACACGATGAACAATACGGATCTTAATAACATATACGTCATGAGGAATGGAACATTACTTCATGAAAAGTACTGCATGTCGCGTACATTCATGAAAACAAATGAAGACGAATAAAGGAGAAATTTTTTTGAGTAGAGGCCAGGAGTAGCGAAGACGGATGTGTGTGTGCTGTGTGTGTGTGTGTGTGTGTGTGTGTGTGTGTGTGTGGTGTGTGTGTGTGTGTGTGTGTGTGTGTGTGGTGTGTGGGTGTGTGCTGGTGTGTGTGGTGTGTGTTGTGTGTGTGTGACGTAGGGACACTGGAAGACGGGTCTAAAAGGGAGTAACTGCCGTCATTACCCCTGCCTGCGGCCGGGAGTCCCTAACCAAGGTAGCGAAGTTTTGTGTGAGCCCGCCAGTCCACGTGCTTACTACACACAAACACTACACACACACGACACACGACCAGACACACACACACAGACACACCACACACAGACACACAACCGTATTGTGTGTATCTGTCACAACCTACCCCAGTACCCCCGTTTCTATTACGAGTAATTTAGGCCAGGTAGTAGGTCGGTCCTACTCACGGAACTACCCTTGGCAGCGGTTGGGTCAGTTATTCCCCTTTCCTTTGTCACACACGACAACGACACCACGGACTATCCCCCAAACTTTCAGCCCATTTCCTGGTGAAGTAGAAGTAAACTTTCACATATATAAAGAAGACCTCGACAATAGACTTTGGGACTCGTCCATTTGCCCACAGTGGGAGCACCCCCCCGCCGTGTGTCTGTGTGTGTGTGTGTGTGTGTGTGTGTGTGTGTGTGTGTGTGTGTGTGTGTGTGTGTGTGTGTGTGTGTGTGTGTGTGTTGTGTGTGTCTGGTTTTGGATAGCCAATCCAACACCCAAAAATAGCCTCGGAAAATAGTTCAAGACAACACCTAACCGGAAGGCTGATCGGAATCCTCTACAGGGCAAAGGGAACGGATAGTCGATGTTACATAACCCTCGGTCTCTACCTCATGAGCTCAAGGACGCTGAACGCTGAACTCAGCCTGAGCTAACGGCTTAAAAGCCCCTGACTCAGGGAAGCAGTAGATCAGGCAAGTAATATGTACACACAAATGTGACGAGGCGAGCACGTAACTGAAGACCATTTTCTTTTTTTTTTGAGGAGTTTTATCCCTCGAAGGGCCTAGACTAGATGATAGTGAGGAACAGAGCCCCACCTTAGCGCTGACCTGAGCTGAGCTGAGCGCTGAACCCTGAGCCATGAGCCTTCCTTCACCCGCTGAGTCTCTCACTGAGGCGCTGAGCACTTAACGCACTGAACTGATGTTGTACCAACCTCGCGGAGGCCGGTTAATCCTCGCCCTGAGTCCCTGATGTCTCGCTTATTTTTGCCCACCCTGCGTAAGTTTACTGCGACAATAATTTCACAGCCATTCAAATTGAGTGATGTTTCGTAAAATTTTTGACTACTGCAATTGCATCCATTTAAACTACGACGAAAAGATTCAACGACCTTAGGTCTAAAGTCGGTGAATCTTTCCCTGGTTAAATTTGGAAATACGAATTTTGTCTCGCGTTCGTCAATTGCTAAGGAGGAAGACTCTATTTCCGTAGTATAGGGCGGTCGTGCACCCTCAGTAATGTAAAATCGACTGCGAAAATAGGTCTCGCTGAATGTTATTCATGGTAAGCTGGTCCTTCTAAATGTTGGACTTCTTTTGTCTTAGTCTATTCCATGTTGAGTAGGTCATGTTTAGTAAAGATTTTAGGTTATTCTGTTGTCTTTTGGTCCTAATAAAATGTGACGTCTCAAACCTACATGTTTGTCCAATCTTTTAGCTAAAATTTTGTTTTTTAGTGTAAATTTTTTAGCGGTTTGTGAGACTTCACCTTCGGGCCAATCTAAATAAGTAAAGTAAAAATTAATAGGAAAAAAAAAAAAAAAAAAAGTAAAACATTATAATAAAATTAATTAAAATTAGACTTAATTAAAAGATGGGATTAATATTTATTAATTTACATAAAATAACATAGTAAAACTTATTTTAAAAATAAAAAGATAAATAAAGATTGGCAGAACCTCTCAACATAATAACGGGAAAAATGGTTGTGGTGAGAAAGGACTTCCCGTGGGCCAGGGACCATTTCTTCTCCCACCTCTGCTCCTACGAGTGAGGAGGTGCAACTCAGGGAGATTGGAAATTTCCGACCATCATGGTTAGTTTGCCCCTAAATTAAAACTGGGGTGTTCACACGACTGAAGGACAAAACTAATTTGGGAGGGAAGTCGACTAAAAAGTGACTAATGAAGCGACGTTTTAGTCTCTCTTTTCTCTGCGTAGTGTTTCAGAGTGTTCCCAATGACACGTTACACCAATTAATGGTTTTGGTATTTTTCACTTGATTTCGTCCGCGTTCATTTATTTAATTAAGTATTTTTGACTATAATAATTGACGGAAGTTCAGGCGATGAAGGAAGTTTCTTTAGTATGGTATCCCTTAGTTTCTGTATATTGTTAATTTTTTTAATTTGTATATAAATTAATTTAAAATATGCATAACAGGGTACGTCGGCATTTGATTGTCCTTCTCACTGCGTGTGTTCACCTGCTGTCCCCTGTGATTTCTCACTGCTTGTCGACCTCTGGTCCCTGTGAATTCTCACTTGCGTGTTCGACCTGGCTCTGTGATTTCTTCACTGCGTGTGCGACCTCTGGTCCCTGGTGATTTCACCTCACTGCGCTGTGTCGACCTCTGTCGCCCTGTGATTTCTCACCTGCGTGTGTCCGACCCTCTGGTCCCCTGTGATTTCTCACTGTGTGTGTCGACCTCTCTGGTCCCTGTGATTTCTCACTGCGTGTGTCGACCCCTCTGTCCCCTGTGATTTCTCCCGCGTGTGTCGACCCTCTGTCCCCTGTGATTTCTCACTGCCGTGTGTCGACCCTCTCCTGGTCCCCTGTGATTTCCACTGCGTGTGTCGACCCTCTGGTCCCCTGTGATTTCCCTCCACTGTGTGTGTCGACGCTCTGGTCCCCTGTGATTTCTCACCTGTGTGTGTCGACCCTCTGGTCCCCTGTTCGACGCCTCTGGACCCTGTGATTTTCTCACTGCGTGTGTCAACCCTGTGGTCCCCTGTGGATTTCTCACTTACTGTGTCGACCCTGTGGTCCCCGTGTGATTTCTCACTGTGTGTGTCGACCCTCTGGTCCCCTGTGATTTCTCACTACGTGTGTCGAACCCCTCTGGTCCCCTGGTGATTCTTCACTGTGGTGGTCGACCCCCTGGTCCCCGTTCGACCCTCCTGGACCCTGTCATATCTTCACTGCTGCGTAGACACTCCTGACCTCTGTGATTTCTCACTGTGTGCTGTGTCGACCTCTGGACGCCCTGTGATTTCTCACTGCGTGTTCGACCCTCTGGTCCCCTGTGA